GTTAGTTGTAGTTGGTTGTAGTTAGTAGTTAGTATTATATAGTATATATATATATATATATATATATATATATATATATATATAGTATATTGTGTGTGTGTTGTTGTGTGTGTGTGTGTGTGTGTGTGTGTGTGTGTGTGTGGATGTGGGTGTGGATGTGGGTGCGTATAAAGTTGTATCGCAACTGTATATATACAAAATATTTGTATACCAACAATCTCCATGTGTGGAAAATTCTCAACTCTGGGTTTGCTTTTTTATCGCCTCTGGTGTCGCACCTGAGTTCAGTTGAAGCAGAAGCGCCTACGATACTCTGGAAGATTAGAGAATATTGATGATATGCTCCTCGCCCAAGCGATGAAATCGCGGCAAACGAAAGAGATGAAAGAGAAGGAACAGAAGTTGAATAAAGAGAAGCTCGTTTTGGTATGTTTGGAACAAATTGTCCACGGGCAAGATTTTGCAAGCGAAGTAAATATGGGCAATATTCCAATGTCGAAAGTATCTGTGTAACAACTGATTTAGTTTACTCTTCAATTCTGGAAGATCGAGCTTAATATCCTGACCTTCCGCTTCAGGTTTTTCGGTTACCACTTCTTTCTGTGTTTCGATCTATTTAGTATGAAGAGTTGGATTCAAATTGTCTATGTTGTCCGTTCACTCACCAGGAAGCGAAACTCGCAGTTGTGAATGCAAATATCGAAGCCTTGCAAGAGATCATTCGGCGGCAGAAAACCGAATCATCCAGCACAGACACGCCAGAGACCGGCAGTGTGGCAGAACTATGGGCCAGCAGCAAGGGCAACCGGTGTCAAACTAAGGGTCGTAGGCAGGTGGAATCCAACGAACAAGCTATGCAGCGGCAGGAGGCTAAGGATAAATTGGTCAGCCTGGGGTTGATCACCCCTTTTGGTACGACCGTAAGTGAGGCCATGGGCAAGAGTACCGGGAAGGCTGGCAGTGGCGCAGTCGAGCAGGATAGTACCGAACTCTTGGCAAATGCTGAGGCGGCTGATGCGGCTCTAATGAGAAGCATTGTGAGCCATAAAAAGGCCGAGTTCGGGGGTGCGCAAGCGAAGCGTGCGGGTTTGGGTTTGACATTGACACACAGAAGCAAGCCTCTGCAAAAGGGTGGAGCAGAAACAGGCGAGCCAGTCGAGGACACGTTAGTGCTGAGCGATACAGGTGGGTGGAGCTATGGTGCACGAGTGAGTTCAGATAGATACGAGATTAGTGGCGTATGTTTTCTCTAGGTGTTTTCTATCCTTCTGTGCGAACAGTTTTCGGTCTGCAATCCATGGCCATTTTACAAATATGATACTGTACTATCACGTGGTTTTTGTGTGTTGTACTTGTCTGATTGTTTCAGTTAGGCTGACATTTGCACCACACAGCAGTGTTAATGCTTTATTAGTAGAATTAGAGTATTGACGTGAGTAGCAACGAAAGCCGCGTCTTGCGTTCTTCTGTGGATCTTTTTTTTTGTAGTGCTGGATGGTCAAATTACCAATAAAGTGAAAGCTCAAATACACAGGCGACTCACATTGATATGACACCAGGCTCGGAACCAGGTTCAGAAATAGGTGTTGATTCGTCATCTGAGGCAGATGCAGCTGACAGCGACTACGTACCATCTGATGTCGAAAATACTATCGTGGCTGAAGACATGGAAGAAGGTGCGAGAATCTCACATAGAGTTTCATGGTGTAGTCTTCGCGCTTCAAATGTGTTTTAGCATTGTTTCTATGTCAAATTTCACGAAGAAGCGATTTACTTTTGGGTTGAAAATTTATCAATTGTGTTTGTTCATCATACCTCATGAGTGGGTACCAAGGCGGTGCGTATCTGGTCTTGTCATATATATTTAAAGTTTGATTCGCACATTTTGTAAACCATTTGTTTACAGACGCTGTGATGTCTGAGGTAGATGTTGAAATAGAAGATGGTCACGACCTGTATACTGACTCCGTGGAACAAGGCGAGTTCGACAACGAGAAAGTGAGCGACGCGAAGGCCAGAAAGGCCAAGAAAGATTTGAAGACCAAGCGCACCACCGATGATGTTGACGACCGTGTATATTGGAAACGGTACAAGAAGTGGGCGAGGGCACGAATCAAGGTGTGTGATGAATGTGCTCGTGAAGGCCGTCTATTGTGCACAAGGTCGGTTATAGACATGCTTGCATGTGAAGTTTTTGGTATGTGGTATATACTCGATGAGGCGATGAGCAGCTGGGTACACTCTTATACCCGCTCGAAGTTGTTTTTTGCAGTTATAGGACCACTTGGACTTATGCACCACGATTGACTACACAGGAACGACGCTTGGCGGAAAGACTGATGGCGCTAGATGAAGATAGCGTAGAAGTGGTAGACGGCTCATCACCTCTTCTTGCAATAGAAAACGGTACGAATGTCGATATCAATACGCAGCCGCTATTTCCTAGCAAGCGCGCTTCGAATAAGACGAAGAAGCAACGAAGGAAGCGTGCAACGGACAGTTCTGACACTGATAGTGAAGATGAGATGGATGAGATTACTGATGAGATGCTGAAAGAGGAAGAATTCAAGCCCCATCCTGTGGAGCCGGATGAAGTGATGGGCCAGTTCAAGGTATGTGGTGCGAGCAAGAGGTTTCACCTCTACGTGTACAGGCCTTCTTGTCGTGTGTGCTCTACATAGAAATTTTCTATATACACATATTTTGGCAATTGCTCTACTATCTCGCTTGCACAAACCCTTCTCTTCTTTGTACCGAGATTGGTCCGTCAATTCATATTTCGGTTTTCTTAGTTAAATTCTTGCCACGCCGGCGCAACACAATGGAAGATTGAAAGAGACGACATGTCGTCATACCAACAAGATGTGTATTGTTATCCAACCTGCAGGTGCCAGGCGAAGTTTGGTCTCGTTTGTTGGTGTATCAAAAAGTGGCTGTGCGATGGATGTGGGAACTGCACGGGCAGAAGGCCGGGGGGATCTTGGGGGACGAAATGGGATTAGGGAAAACAGTGCAGGCAATAGCACTCCTGGGTATGTGTTAGGAAGTAGATAGTGACTTGCATATACATGTATGCGTGCGTAGAATTGCTGAGTATAACCATGTAAACTTCTATTGCAGATTGAATTATGGTAGCAAGTAGGTGATATGATCACGTTATGTACCCTACTTGTGGGAAGAAGACACGTCGCACAACGTGTATACTGTATGTGTCGCACAACGTGTATACTGTATGTGTCGCACAACGTGTATACTGTATGTTGATTGCCACTCCATCACTGTCTGTATATCCAGCAAGCTTTACTGTTGCTTATATCCTGACACGACAATTTATTGCTAATTGAAGTACTCCTTGAATTGGCGATCGCTCGTGAATTTGCGAACGTTTTATTGACGAGCCGTGGACCCGATATTCGCATCCATTGCGGTCCACACTCGAAAGAGGGGGTGATTCCCCGCATTTCTATTCATCTTTCATGGATCATTTTCGTACACTGAAAGTTGTTCCTGACTGTGTCTGCACCTCTCCACCCGTGCATACATGTTTGTCAGCCGGAATGAAGTACAGCGGCATCAGCGGACGAGATGCCCAAGTGAAGAACGGCATGCGGTATGAGTTGGTGCTCGCATTGCGTCGTGTGCGTATTGTGAATGTTGTATTGATTGCATTTCTGTGGCATGGTTTGTGGGGGACGGTCAAGCTGGTTGTATAGTTTACCACTTGTCTAACTATTCACTAGAGCCCGTACCCATAGTACAGATGCAATTTAGTGTATTTGGCGCAGCCGCATGCACCACCTTTACTATCTACCAAAAAAATATGTAACTCACCGTGCGGCAAATGTCCAATCGCTTAGGCAGAAACGGACACCAAGATTATTGAAAAACGTTCTAATAGTATGCCCGGGGACAATCATGCATCAGTGGGTGGCGGAGTTCAACAAATGGTGGGCTCCCTTCCGATGCTATATTCTGCACGAGTCTGGTTCCTTCAAGACTCAGGGATTAGACAGGTAAATGGTTTGCATCTATTGTCAACAGTATATAAGTGTACTTACATATACACACAGGCCAGATGCTTGTACTGCTGTACATAAGGTTGGTATGTAAGGTCTACGTCTGAGGTCAGTCGGGTCTCAATGTGATCTACATTCTGTCACATTTTGCTATTTTGTCACATTTCTCGCTATTTTTGTCGTGTTTCGAGGTTATGGGTTATTCCAATGCTCGTCCGCGACCCAAATGAGATATGTTACAAAACAAAACAGCCGCTCCTAATCCATAAAATCGAAGAATAATTTTGTTATAATCGAGAACTTATTCACCCTTCTTCTCCACAGGGCGAAGATGATTGAGCAGTTCCGTCGAACTGGTAATGTGATGATTACGACATACCAGGGACTCAAGAATGACACCCAATATCTGCTGCCAATCCGTTGGGACTACGTAATACTGGACGAGGGGCACAAGGTGTGGTGTGGGGTTGTGTTATTTTTAAACTCATGTGTCTGTTAGTTTGGCTTAGCTCAGTACGGATACGGGAGGGTTCTTTAGGCCATGCAGTCTAGAATCTGAATTGCTGGCGGTAGGTTCGTATCGATTTCAACTATGGCCGACCTATAACCCACGGTGGTATGCAGCCTTAAGCTACCTTTTGCATTTAGAAGAAATAGCATACTGATGGTACTTTATGGTGTTGCATATAGCCGTGTAGCTAGACTCGGGAGTGATACCTGTTTTTGTCAGAGTATTGGTACAATTAGCACAGTATCACTCCGATTTTATCAACTTTCAGGGTGCTTTCGTAGCGACCAATAGTTGGTGTGGGTGGTGGAGACAAAATCTTGAACGATAACTAACTAACCCGAAATACAATGGACTTTCACTTCAAGCTATAGAAATACACACATTTGCGTACTAATTCCTTCTCTCGGCTAGTGTAAATTGTCTACGCTTTGCAAACCTTCAATGCCGACGCTACAATCATATGCACTCGTAGTGATGCAGTTGACGTGATTGTCCAATTGCTCCGGAAATAGGTAGCGGTCGTAGAATTCGTTCTGTCCACATATCAAACTCTGATTAGACTTTTTGATCGTAAGTCAAGTGGCGTCGAATTGAGCATGTTGCACTCAGCCCTATGGGCTGCATGTGTGTATGCAGCTCGTATCAACTTGGCTTTGGGTCTGTTGTCGCAGACTTACTACGTTTAAGAGTCTAGATAAAGGATTTGAAGCCAGGCAAACTGTTAATGTGCCGATTCGTTTCTGTACGCAGATTCGAAATCCAGACGCCGACATCACCATCGCATGCAAGCAACTGAGGTGTGTGCACCGTCTCATACTCAGTGGATCACCGCTGCAGAACAACCTCAAGGAGTTGTGGTCGCTGTTCGACTTTGTTTTCCCGGGGCGACTTGGGCCTCTGCCTGTGTTTAATGCGGAGTTGGCCATACCAATTAATCTGGGAGGTTATGCGAATGCTACGGCTGTACAGGTAACCCTGTCAGAATGAATTGTACTGGCGTTATCTCGTACGGCCATGTGTATTCTAATACACGCATAGAATCCTTCGGACGTCCGCATGTTCTAGTTGATTGAAACTGCGTTAATTTTCGATATCACTCTGCCTGACGAAGTATGGCTACTCTGGATTTACTCTTCGCTTGCAACATAGTTACATTCTTGTAACATTGATGTTCACCTTTCAATTCATTGCCAGGTACAAACATCTTACAAGTGCTGTATGGTTCTCAGAGATGCTATTAGCCCTTATCTGCTCAGGCGTCAGAAAGTGGATGTTCTCTCATCGTTGCCTAAGAAGGTGGAGCAAGTAAGTATGCGTGGACAATGGTCGGAGCTGAATGGCGTAACGAATGCTCAAAATTTCTATCGATGTAGATATCAAGTTAGTTGTCAATGGTGCTTGTGTGTAGTCCCGTTGCGTATACGAGTCATGAGTATGCGATGTATGTACAACGATCTGTTCGTTTCAAAATTGTAGAGGTCTGTGTGAAGCCTTACGAGACGTGAACTAATTCGATCTTTAAAAGACACATGCGAACCCTATCGGCAATCGTGACACTCACAATCTTCGTCTTCCCTGTCCTTTACAGAACATCATGTATTTACCGTATCCGACATTTTACAACCTGTTTGCTTGAACAGTTTGCGGTGTTTTTTATTTTCAGCATCCCGGTCAGCCGACAATTGCGGTTTTCGCTCATTATACAGTTCTTTTTATGCGCATGTACAGGTGCTCTTTTGCTCGCTGACTCCTAAGCAACGAACGCTGTACCGACAGTTTCTGAATGGTAAAGAGTGTGCGAGTATCATGGCCGGGCGACAGAATCTGTTGTATGGAATCGGCATCATGCGCAAGCTGTGTAACCATCCGCATCTGGCCCATGTGGCCGATATCAAAAAACTGGAGCAGTCTCACTACGACAACTACGGTGCGTGCTGTATTTTGGTGCCAAAATGAGTCGCATGAGTTGTTGTTTGTTTGTTCTGATGTTTTGTTTTAGCGCTTTGGACAGTTTGGGCTTTGATTGGTGATCACACTGTGCTGCAGTACGGACGATATGGATGTGTAGTTATGACGACCGTTCGTTACGGATATTCTCGGTTATTTCGACTTCTTCAAACTTGTCACCTCGCTGTTCTAGGTGTTGAGTTGGCTCCGATTTGTACGTATACATTTTGATTACGTGCTGTACGTATGTATAACACCCCAACCGTCGCACATGTCAAGTTAGTTCCGCAAGCTGTCAAATCGAATTGTGTCGTACAAGACACGACAAACCTTAGCAATTTTAGACGTCGAGATGCCGTTTTCTTATACGTATTCAATACAATCTCGTTTCTCTTCATACCTACTTTTTCTTACTGCAATTTGGTACCTACATGTAGGCGATTGGCAGCTGTCGGGCAAGATGGCGGTGCTGCGTCTTCTCCTCATTAGGTGGAAGGAAGATGGCGATCGCGTACTGCTCTTCTCCCAGACGCGACAGATGCTGGACATTCTAGAACTGTTTGTGCGCCAGTGCGGCTACAAGTACTGCAGGATGGATGGCAATGTACCGGTGAAGCAGGTACGCACATACTTTATCGAACATGCACACGTGTGGGACCATGTTTATAAATAGTCCCTTATATCACTTTCTATTTTTAAAGATAAATACTTGTAGTCCGTTCTTTCGTTCATATATAGTTACTTACAATTCGTTATTTCGTATATATGTATATTTGATTCGCTTAGCTGCTCATCGCAGCCCAAGGCGATGTACACAAATTGTGTGTTTTTCAGATTTAGTCAATGCTCTGCAACAGTATAGCTGCACAAGTCGCTGTTGGAGAGAGAGTTACCTGTGTATTCTCGACTGTAGTCTTTCATCTGGGCGGCCCCTCTCAACCTTTTTTTTTATCTACAGAGTGCTTTATACTTCCATATAGTGGGCAGTGCCTTTCACCGGCTTCTATGCATCCGTGCAGACTTGCAGCTTTGCCATCTGACTTGTAAATCTTATTCCTAATCATATTGATCTTCACAGAGACAAGGGCTCGTCAAAACGTACAACGAGGATCAATCAATATTTGTCTTCCTGCTCACAACTAAGGTACTGTGAATTTATCTGCGTTTGGGGCTTAAGTTTGATTTATGTGTCTTGATGTTTTTTGCGTGCAAAGTAGTGTGGTTGACGCTGCTGCCTATTGGCTCTGAACTATCATACATCATACAATCTTGTAGGTAGGAGGTTTAGGCGTTAATTTGACAGGGGCCAATCGGGTTGTGATCTACGATCCAGACTGGAATCCCTCAACCGATATGCAAGCAAGAGAAAGAGCCTGGCGAATAGGTCAGGAGCGGGATGTGACGGTATTTCGACTGCTCACTCAAGGCGCAATCGGTACGTGGCATCTTAGACAGTATGTATTGTCTTGAAAGTATATACATATTTTGGCAGATGTCTGGCTGTGCTCTATGAGGTCTGTACATTTTTAATTCGTACTCATTTAGTTCATTTCGTTCTATTGTAGTTTTACAAACTGACACGATCAATGAAGACTCTGGGAGCTGCGGACTTTACGTACTTCAACGAAATATCTGCACTTTGTATATACCAATACAGAGGAGAAAATGTACCATCGGCAAATATTCAAACAGTTCCTGGCCAATCGAGTGCTTAAAGATCCCAAGCAGAGACGCTTCTTCAAATCAAACGATCTGCATGAACTCTTTCAGCTAAATGAGGAGGTACCGGACGAGAATTCGAAAAGGTATTGGTGATGTGATCAGGTCACCAGTATGCTGTGTATGTGGTGTACGAATCGAGTGAATGTAATTTTTTGCGGTTGACTGTCGAGTATCATTTAAGACGCTGTGCATTGGTAGGATCGTCCAACCACCAGAAGTTAGGATCAACTGCTGCTTGTGTTTTACCTGACTAACTTGACTATCTGTCTCTATGTATATAGTTTCAGACTAATGACAGCTACAATTATGGAGCATTCGGTGACTGATTGATCAACTGATGTGGACGCATACTCATTCATCTAGTGTTGCGTTTTGCAGCGAAACCGCCACAATGTTTGCTGAGCCCGGTACCGAGATTTCACGGAGGGATATGTCCGAAACGACCACAGATGAACCTTCAGACATGACAAATGGCTCACAAACTACCGGACAGAGGGATTTCCACACACAAATTCACCAAGATGAACGTACTCATCGTGAAGTAGGGGAGGAACAGAACCTCGCGGAGGAAGGCAGGGACACAGCAAACGAATCGACCAGTAAGGTGGGACGGGGCCCGGATGGATGTGATACGGGTGAACGATCAGATAGCATTCCAGATACCGCCAAAAGGAGGGGAGAGGATGGTTTTGGTGTGATAAACGCTTCAGATATTGCCGGAGTGGCTGCGGTGGAGACGACTGGGATCGAGAACGAGGCAGAACGTAAGCTGAAACGCGATAGACGGCGGAAAGCAAATTATGATACAGAGGAAATTGATAATCAAGGTGATTCCGATGGCGTTAGTAGCAGTAAGAATATAAACATAAACGGGAAGGGGCTTGAAGATGGCGAAGTGGCTGTGGATAAAATTAGCGCAGGCGGAATGTATCTGAGCAAGAGACAAAGGGTTGAGCTTTACCGAAAAGAAAAGCGAGAGAGGTACGAGAAAGCTAAAATGAGAGGCAGAAGGGAGCCAATGCGAGGAGAGGAGAGTGACTCCGATGGCGGTCTGAAAAACTACGCAGTAGGTAAAGACGAGGACGAGGTGAGTTCTTTTTTAGAGGGGGGGTTCCCTATTTTTATTGTTTAAACGTGTGAAACAGTAGCAGAAAAAGTGCTTGGCCACCGTCGATTAAGTCATGAGCTTCACCGAGGCACAAAGGCAACTTGTGTAGCTACCGATAACGAGATTAGATGTTCAGTTCTAATCTTGACTGACTAGCTGTAAACCCCAAGAGTATATCATAGAAGCCTGAACCTAAATTTTTCAATATTTAAATTATCTTATGCGATCCAAGAACAAAGAGTATGAACCCACGGGTTGCAAACCTTGGCTATCGAAACTGGATTTTCGGATTGCAAAGACCGATTTCTCACACACGTCGCAATATTTTGAACAATAGGGCGGTATCTTGTCAATGTTGTTCAAAAACACGGGTATGGTTAACGGAGCATTGCAACACGATAGAATCGTCGATGGAGGTGGTCAGGAAGAGCTACTCGTCGAAAATGAAGCTAAGAAGGTGGCCAAACGTGCAGCAGATGCACTGAAGAAAGCTAGGTATGTGATGCTGAATATGGTTACTTCATTTTTATTCAACAGTGAAGGTAATAGGGTGTAATAGTATCTCAGGGTGCGTACACTATACAAGGGTATCTTACCTTTCGACTTTGAGATTATTCGTTTGAAAGTATAGATCGATTTTTCAGTGTGCATCTACCTTTCGACTGTGCACCATCGTTAGAAAATAAATGTTAAGTCTTCTTTCTACGATGGAGCTATTTCATCTACTATATGATGCATGACATTTTTAAATTTGTTTCTAGATGATGGCCAGCCGCAAAGATTTTGTGCTTTGCTCATACATCCCAATTTGATTTCAGATCACTGCGCGCACACGTACCCGTTCACAGTGTCACGTGGACGGGAAAGACTGGCTCGGGACCTCACGCACCCAAAGCCAACGCACCAAATGCCGGTGGAGGTAGTAGTAGTAGCTGGTGGACACAGGGGTCAGGCAAGCGTGAGAATGGTTTGACGGGCCCCCACGCATCAACATCGACAGGTATGTATTCGGTCGACTGCGACAACGATCTTGCGTGTTATACTGGCTTTACTCTGCGTGCTTCGAGTGCCGGGTTGCTCATACTTCTGTAGAACATCTTAATGGAAGTGCGCACGTCTCACACAGCACTCCTTGTAGAAATGTATATCGATTTGCATGCGGAACTCCAAGCAGCACTTCTTTGATTGTTATAAATTATGTAGAATGCATCCTACCTTATGAAAGCGATTGCGGGTTGAGAAACGCTTCTCTACGTTCATTGTCAACCTGAATCGTCCGTGTTCATTTCCTTTGAACTGGCCACTAATATTTTGCACTTGCGGGCCGCTGTATGTACAGGTGTGAAGGTTATAAAGAGACGATTCGGTAATGTGAAAAGCCAAGCGCTCAGCAACACGGCACGAGTCGATCAAGCCGCCGATGAACTTTTGGGTGGTAGTATGTCAAATGCACATTCCCCTGCTTCAGTACATCGGAGATTGGCTAGTAGTGCGAGCGCCAGCGCGAACAATTCCCGTACGCAATCGCCTATGCATTTTCAAATGATGCAGGGAAACGATACAAGCGCGAATGTAGTGAACACTTTGCAGGACAATGAGTACCGGTCCACTCAACGAATAGGGGCGGCGTTAGGAGGCCGCGGTGCTGTGGATGGCAGTTCAGACACAGGTGGAAAGTTGAGCGTGATGGGTACAAGCAATAACTTCGACCAAAATGGCAATATAGTCGATAATGCTGTGAATCCTTCAGCCACAGAGGCGAGTATAACGGCGTCTTCAAGCCTTCTAAATAGAATGCGGCAGAGAGCTGGACTGGGTACAATGGATGAGCAAGATGCTACGCGAGTGCTCGTGGCGCAGGTAGGTGTGACTTTTATGGCTTGATTGACTTGGGTTTTCATATTGTTGAGAGGTGCAAGGGAACACAAAATTATGGTACGGGTCATTGGAGGAAATAGCGTCACACAAATTTATGCGTGTCATGGCACATTTTCATATATGTTTATGTGCATATATGAAGATGGTTACTTTAAATTGTATTCATATATGTAATTGTTCAAATTCTTATTTAAAGGGGCGTTGGTGGGCGGTTCGAAATAATAGACTACGAAAAAATAAATTATAGCTGGTTTTATAGAGCTATGGTGAGCGAGAAGTGGGTGTTTTATTTACTTTTTACAAGGTAGTGATTTGGACTGCTGTGATCATATACAATTGTATGTCAACGCGGATGGCGGACTTGATTGCTCGATAATCGATTTCTACTCACACCTGTCTATGCACTTATTGATAACATGGAGAACGATTCATCAGCCATCGGCTAAAAACCCATTGTACGTAACTGGGAATCTTGACCCTCCATAGGCATAAACAAGTATCCAGGTGAGTCATGTGTTTTGTATATTAATATTTTATCGGATGTTTCTCCAGTTACGTGATTTTATCGGCCGACAGCCCAATCAAAGGGCCGCTACGCACGCAATTGTTGGAGAATTTGAATTGAAGCTGAGCAAGGATGACCTCGGAGTATTCCGGAGCATGTTGAAGGAGATTGCAAAATTCAACCGAATAGATGGTGTGGGTGGCTGGAAGCTGAAGGAAGACTACATGTAGTAGAATGTAAATAGTTAATCAATAAAAAATTACTGGGTTATCAAGTTTATTTTTCTATTCCAGAGTCGTACAAAAATGTGTTTTATGAATATTTGTCGGAAAATCATGAAACATGAAAGGAAATTTATGTCGACAAGCCTTCACATTATTCCATCGCGCCGTGTTAGATTGTTTTCAATAATTAGATAAACGCCAAAGGACATCCAATTTCAAGGGGAACGACTCGAAGTAAAAAATCTGACGAGAACGGGATTTGAACCCGCGCCTCCGAAGAGACTAGCGTATTACTGGTCCACAATAGTTGTCCTCCTTAAGCTAGCACCTTAACCAACTCGGTCATCTCGCATATGTGTTGAGTGTACTTTTTTATATCTAATTCTATATTGTTTTTCGAATTGAAAATTGACATCCACTTGCGATCGTATTTCGCTTGCCACGCCTGTGAGCTACCTTAGTACAGTTGATTCAGAAAAGTTGAATCGCGTATCTTGTTTGACGTCGCACTCAGATCCAGTTACTTGAGCTTGTTATGGTCCAAGGGTCTTATCCATACGTAAATCAGTAGAGTAAATCGCCACAAACTAAAGGGTGCGGAGCGATCAACTAGGCACTAGGCACCTATCTTTATTTTCTTAAAGAATATAGAGGACCTTGTAGATGTTCGATGTCGCGTTCAGTGAGACAATATCAAACTGACCTTTTCGATTAGTATCTACATCCAGGGTCAAGAGCTAGCAAAAATATTCATCAAAATGTTTTTCAGATGAAAATATCCAACATATTGTCCTCCATCTCAAAGAATCTCGCGTTTACGGCCAGCAATATTCATCCGTTAATGGAAAGAAGTATAGAAGTTGATGTTAAGTCATGCCGAAGACTACCATTTATAGTTTGATTGCGTGTCTGCTACGATACGTACGCTCTTATCGGGTATACTTTGAATCTGAAGTCGTTAATACTAGAAAAAAAGGAATAACACTTTCGGTTAAACTGTATAACGTTAATTGGACTATTGCCACTAATCTGAATGTACTTAGATTGCCAGGAAGTCGATTACACATGCGCTTGTGATTGTGTACGAACTAGTTTGACAGCAACTTCGCATTCGTCGGTCATATTTGGTGAATATCAACTACTATTGGTACTTACACACGTATGCCAGCATTTCGCCTGGGATGTGGTAGGCGTGTGCCATTATGATAATTTCCGATTGAGTTGGTTCATATTGCTGAACCGGTGAGTAATATAATAGAGTTGCCTAATGAGCGGTGATATATAGTCAATGTCCGGATACCCGTACGATGACACGTGAGGCGGACGCAGGCTTGAAGTGTCCGGCGAGTAATCAAACAGAGTTGTCTAATGAGCGGTGGGGTATAGTCGATGTAATAGTAGTACCGGATATTCACACGATAAGGCGTGAGGTGAGTGCACGCTTGGATTGTCCAGTATTTGTTTTAGAAATCGCTATAGACAGCTGTGAATTTTCTAACACGTAAATTTTAATTAACAAGCATACGCCTGCGAAACAGTCCAGGACTTATGTATAGTATAATCTGATGGGTAGCAACACCGATATTGATTCCAATAGTCAGTTTTGCCCAGGGACAATATTCTCACAGTCAAGGTTTTGTAATTTGCGTGTAGGCATCGGCTTTAAAAAGGGCAAACGTCAATACCATTCTCAGACATACAAATAAAACAGTATGTCCATCAAGTAAATAATACCTATTCGTGGACGATTTTTATAGACGTTGCGTATTACTCAATTTGAATTAGAGATCTTTTTTTTGATACGTGACAAAATAAAGAGTGGGCAGCAGAACCGATATTCATATTAGTGGTCAGATTTGGCCAGGGACAATAAGATAACAGTCAAGGTCTTGAAACTTACGTTACTCGCAGGAAGCGCATGTTAGAACACGCGCAAAATCAAGCCCAGGAATTTTCGTTCACTCGATGAGATGCCGACAGACTTTTATGGCCCTAGTAGTGCTCAGGGATCGACAACTGTGATGAAATCCCCTGGTATAATTTTTTGGAACCAGCGGATTTGCACTTGGCAATGGTTACTCCGCAGAATTTGTCGTCATCAGCGAAGCGGTACATTGATTCGTTTCGCAGAGTTATGAACTCTCCACGGTAACCATACGAATAAAACAGTATGTCCATCAAGTAAAATTCTCAGACATACAAATAAAATAAAATGTCCATCAAGTAAATATTACCTATTCGTGGACGATTTTTTAGACGTTGCGTAGTACTCAATTCGGTTACATGACAAAGTAAATAGTGGGCAACGGAACCGATATTCATATCAGTGGTCGGATTTGGCCAGGGACAATAATAATATAACAGTCAAGGTCTTGAAACTTGTGTATGGGCATCGATTTAAGGGAAAAAGCGACGATACCATTCTCAAACACACAATTGGAATAGTATAGCCCATCATGTGTATTTTACCTATTCGTGCATGATTTTTATAAATGACGCGTAGTCGACAGGGACACAGTATAATCGCACTTGGCACGGTTTAGAAAATGTTACTGATTATATGTTGCACAGTTGCACATATTATAGTGTTCTTTACGATCATAGTGTGTTACAGCTTCTCTGTTCTTTCCTAGGCTCGTGATGCATTGTCGTGACAATGGCAATATATCACAAGCTGGAGTCGGGCAAACCAGACAAATACTATACTCAATACTAGAGAGTCGCTAGTAGTGCCCGCTTAGCCAAAGCTTGGCCAAAAACAGTCATAGATGTACGGTGCGTACGTCTCACCAGTTCTACCGGGAGGCTTCCTGTACTTTGTTCCGGTGCATGTACACAATGAGATATATACTATGTTAACTTTCCTAACACTATGGCATCTCCAGTAGCGGAACTATAGCGGAACTACTCGACTCGAATATTTATATCTACAAAGATACATCGTGCAACACTGTGCCGATTATACTTCAGCATCTGCACGGCGTACCAGTGAACGACAACCCAAAACCCTCTGTACTTAGCGTTGCGCCACCGAGTTGATGGCATGGGCACTGTAATTGGTCGACCCCCACTCTTACTCTAATCAAAGTTTGGTGCTTGGATTTCGACGCATTTTCCTCCTCCAAACTTTACAGTTGTAAAATTTATTTATTTATACTACAAATTTATTACATACCGGGGCATCTGAGTTTAGGGTTTATTAAGCATGTACCGGGAATATTGTGAGCGAGAGGCCGTCGAGTTGACTCACGATAAATAAAGAAAAATAGTGTTTTACAATCCTCGAGCATATGTTGAAACAGAACCCGCCGGCTCAAAACCTGATTTGTATGCGCGACTTGCGAATTACGAATGTCAACCTACATCTAATTGATATTTATTGCAAGTATGACCAGGAAACACTGTACATCGCATGGTAGGCTATTCGAAGGCTGACTTTGTATTCGTTGCTCGAATCTGGTTCACTAAAAATGTAATAGAGGGTAAATTGGAAATTAAAACGTTCACAGTGTGGATCGAACTGTACCATATAATAGATATATAACAACTTAGGAGAGTGAGTGATATTTTACTTGTTGGATGACAATTTGTTCGACACCAGGTTTGATGGGTGTCGTGCCTGACCAAACTACCGGCTGGATAGTGATTCGAATCGACAAAGGGCCTTTGGACTTTAGGATTTCGATTAAGGCAGAGAAATCGTAATTTCGTAGTAAATCGTGGACGGAGGCATTTATGAACAAAGGCAGTAAGGTTGAGTGTTCAAGTAGCAAATTTGGACGGCCAACCATGAGAGAGTGACGGAAAGATTCTATCATGTGAAATTGATAGAAGTACAACGTTTGGATGCTAGTGCTATAAGAGTGTTATAGTAAAGCCAATGCCGATGAATTGGAGGCGTTTAGAGAGTCTATACATGAAATATGTCATCAGGGATCCAGACTGCACCAAAGTGGGGCATATTCTATGGGGATGTTGGAGTAAGGGTACGTTGTGTATGAGAGTGGGGTGAAATACCCTGGCGATGTTTAAAAACTCTAGGATGGTAAGTTTAAGTATGGAAACAGAAATATCAGTCTTGGACGTCGTGGAGTAGGAGAGCCACGGATGCCAGGTAGTATTTGAGGTGGAGGTGGATTACTGCTAGCTGAATCCACGCATCATTGTCAACCATCCATGAGATTATAGAACCAGAAGTATCCCCGGTAGGACCTGGCAGTTTAGAGAGTCTAACGTAAAAATTATATCATCAGGGATCCAGGCAGCACCAAAGTGGGGCATATTCTATGGAGATGTTGGAGTATTGGGTGGTTTGTGTATGAGAGTGGGGGTGTAATACCCTGGCGATATTTAAATACTCAAGGATGGGAAGTATAGGTATGTGAATAGTAATAGTAGTCTTGGACGATGTGGAGTAGGAGAGTCACTCATATGGATTTGCCAGGAACATCGTCTGACAGCCACAAGAATATAGAACCAGAAGAATTCCTGGTAGGACCTAGCAATTTGAGGATAATGTCATTCAAGCAATTGGTGTGAGAAGTTATGACTGTTGGGTCCATGTGTTTCAGGCACATTAGCCTATAATGTGCTCTAGCGCCGTTGGAATCCATAGCAAATCAGAAGGTCCGTAAGTACCGAAGGAGCTTGATGATGATAGCTTGAACAGGTGATATGTAAAAGCTTTGTCTTCGTAATTCCTATCGACAACGTTCTGTCTTGCTAGTATCAGCATTTTATACGCTCGTACTGCCAAATGCCAATTACCTGTCTGTGACCCAATGTGATTCTATATTATAAATTCATTGGCCTTGATTGCCATTTGAAGATAGGTTTCATGGATGGGGTCATGATAGGCGATGCACAAAATAATTGCATCCGATGCCAGTTGTAGCCAATGAGTCGGGTGGAAAATCAGCGATTCTAGAAGATGGCTTGATTGTTGTTGGTATCTAGGTTTCCTGGATGGGGCCATGATAGGCGAGGCACGAAATAATTGCATCAGATTCCAGTTGTAACTGATAATTGGGGTAGACAATCAGC